TATTTTTGTATTCATTTAAAAACCTTTTGAAGATATTATATGGTTTTATCGTTGTCATTGCGTTTCTTAAAAAAAATTTTTTTTTTCCTTGCACGGTACTGTATGGAAAACACAGTTTAAGTGTTATTTATTGAAATAAAAAGAAATCATAATATTTTGATGTGATGTTTTGTATGCTTGTTTGAACAGTTACCTGATAGTCATACGCCATTGCAGTAAACAAGAAATATATCAAAACAACCAACGTCTTTAACAACGATCTAGTTATATTATTTTAAGTTTTACATATTTAAAAAAACATTAATAATTTTTTATTATTACCGATGGTTTTATGGCTTTTTATCCATCCTAGGTTTTTTTTTTATTAAAAAGAAGCAATCTAATACCAATGTGGTTGGTCAGCCAGGACATTTTTCAAATTTTCAGAAAACTGTTATGGCGCAAAATAAAACCATATCGCTCAACTTTTAATTAAATACATAAGGGGTTATATATTGAGTGGGATATAAAAGTGAAAAAAAAAAAATTAAAATCATGGCACAAACAGTCTGTGTTGTAAGGAATTAGCGGACTACACAATCACGTTGGACTTCTTCTATTGATTTTCATAATTCTTTTAAAAAAATACATTAGAATTTTTTACTTTAAGTTTTAATTTCATAAAGTATGAAAATAAACATTAAATGTTATGGTTAATAATTATAGTTGGAATATAACATGTTATTATATTAAACAATTGAAATTTCCTTTTTATTTAAGTAAATATCTCAAATATAATAGATGATTAACTATTGATTCATTGACATATTTTAATTACAAAGTATAAAAAGTGACAAGTTGTTTGAATTTAAAAATGCTAAGATAGTATTAAGATGATACACAAAAATGTCATATCACTTTACAATGTTCATAGATTTCTTCTTAACATTTACTCTAACGGCTTATCTTACCTAAATGTTTTTATTAAAAAAGCATGGGCAAGGAAATCAATTTATGTACAATTTTAATTGTCTTATAATTACAATACATATTATTAAACTTGAATAATAATTATCCATTAGAAAATGCCTTTGAGCACACGTCACATTTGTAGGGCTTTTCACCAGTATGAATGCGTATGTGTTGTGTTGAGATTTTGAGAAAATGCCTTTGTGCATACATCACATTTGTAGGGCTTCTCACTAGTGTGCACGCGTTGGTGTGTTCGAAGTGCCGATAAATTTGAAAAAGCATTCAGACAAACATCACATTTGTAGGGCTTCTCACCAGTGTGCACGCGTTGGTGTGTTCGAAGAGCCGATGAATTAGAAAAAGCATTTTGGCACACATCACATGTGTAGGGCTTCTCACCAGTGTGAATGCGTTTGTGTGTTGAGAGGTTGCCTTTTTGAGAAAATGCCTCTGAACACACGTCACATTTATAGGGCTTATCACCGGTGTGTACGCGTTGGTGTGTTCGAAGTGCCGATAAATTTGAAAAAGCATTCAGACAAACATCACATTTGTAGGGCTTCTCACCAGTGTGCACGCGTTGGTGTGTTCGAAGTGCCGATAAATTAGAAAAAGCATTTTCAGCAGTAAAATCGCGCTTACATTTTATACATCATTATACTTAGAGTACTAAAAACCTTGTTAAAATTACACGCCGACTCAATTAAATGAATAGCATTTGTAAGGTAAGCAATTAGTGTTAGAAATTCACACTTGATAATACCTCTTGTTTGAAATAGTAGGTAACTGAAGCTATTTAAACTCATAGAATATATATTAGACATTGATCACATACATTTATTATAGAATTTATTAATTATTAGTTGTATAACAGAGTTAAACAATTTGGTTAGGATAAACATTTTTCGAATAAATGTGATCTTGTTTAGACTCCATTAGGTATTCAATATTCATTTGGAATTTTATTATTAAGCTGGAAATACGTTTAATGTATTAAAATCTTTTTTTAAATATTTTAATTAAATAACATATTATAGTACCTATCTCTTTGTGTATACAGTATATAACTAACATAATACAAATTAACAATATCATAGCTAGGCCAATAAGCTGCAAACAATAATGAAAACTATTACAAATTTACCATTTTAATAGTAAATATTAGATATAGAAATTAATTATTTGAATAATAATTGTCCAACTATGACTATAGTATAAACACATTACTTCCAGTAGCTAGTAGTCATTAACTGCTCTATACTTAATTATATTATTGTAGTAAATCTTACACAAAGAAATAATTATACAATCTAAGAGGTTTTACGTTTTTTTATTAATTTATAAAGGTCATACACGTAAAATTAAGGTTTATGGAGTATTTCGTGTATTTTAAAGTATAAAAATAGTTTGAGTATTGTAATGTACTACTTTCAAAAGTAAATAGAAGGCTTTACCATTTTATTTTACTCCAAAGTAGAGTTACTCGTTGGTTACACTACTTGACTTGTCAGAATAAAAAATATTGTGGGATAATATTTTTATTGACAAGTGTTAATCACTGCAATTGGCAATATAATAGAAAGAATCCTAAAAGCCACAACACATTCGACATATTTTTAGTACCTATTTAAACTATAGCCGATAGGTAATAAGATAATAAGTACTAAGTAGTAAATTATTGTTAACAGAAAACTGTAATCACAACGTTGTTATCTTGAATAAATATATCTATGAAAACGAACTAATGAAAAGAAGATTGATAACTGCAGTTTAAATATTAGTTTAAAAAATATATACTTTTTTTTTTAATTTCATCAAACGTTGTAATTAAAATCAATGAAAATGTATGCATTATCGTAAAGAGACTTAAACTAATGGACCACTAAAATTATGTATTTCCTAAAAGTAATTAACTCATAGGCGCTTGAAAATATGAGTTTTTAATATTCGGAAGTACTTTTTTCCGTGTACGCCGCACTTACATCGGTTTCCAAGTGAGATCGGAGAAGTGGTTTTTCATTGACTCTTTCTGATGAAATTTGTCCACCTTGTGAGTCGGTTATTTTGTACAAAACCGGTGTTGTCTAATCAATAATATTGTAAATGAGTATAAACTATATAGGTTAAATTTTAAATATATTTTCTAACACACTAACAGCTTCTTTCTTTTCAAATTCTACATCGTCATCGACAGCCGGTGCTACTTGGTCGGCCGATCCTGAACCCAATTGCTCAAAGAAGAAGTCGCTTACTTCTGGCGTGCTAGATCCGTCTACAAAATAACTATTGGCTTAACTAAATTTTTAACCGCGAAAGGTGTACTTTATGGAGCCAAACAGTTATTGGACTTACCAACGATATTTATTTTGGCTCTTCCCAGATGATCTTGATCTCCAATTTGATTAGCAACGCTGATGGCTTTGAGTCGCTATGTTCCGTTTGCTCGTGGTCCAACGTACAAGTAAATTTCCTTACCGGTGTCCAAAATAAAGCAATCGCCTTGATTCATCGCCGACACGTTTGGAGCTACTTGCCTGACTCGAACGTTCTTTTTCACTATGATTTGATACAGTTTTTTCTTGCCGCCAGGATTGATTTCCGTATGGTGGAATCCCGAAGCCACACCACCGGGCAAATAACGTATAGCTAAAACGAGAAGAAAATTAATGAGCATTATTTTAGGTAGGCATTGGTTGTACCCAATATTTTGGAGTATAATTACAAGGTAAAAAAAAAGAGACAAAAACGCATGGCTCTCGTGATCATGAGTTTCTTTATGCTGAACCGGTGCACCCCCGAGAGCGTCATCCAGTTGCACAGCATGCATAGCTGCTGATGCGATTTCGTCCTTGATAAAATAAATAGATATTTCTTTATCGAAAAAACGTATACATGTAAAATAAGCCATGAAATAAGATTACACACTTGAGAAGATTCGCTTCCAGACCAGTAGTATATGTCGGAATTCCGTTTGACTGAAAATTAGCTAATTTATGAAACTCGGATTTCTTTTTTAATAACTTTTGTTCAACTCCTCGGGGAAGCAAGCCCTTTTATGTGTAAAGCCTTAAGTGTAATATGTAGACTATCAAACTGAGAGCATTCACTTATTTTTCGTTGATATATAACCATAAACGAACCATTTAATTCTTTGGTCACTTTTATATTATAGATTCCAATGTAAAAGAGTAATTTCATCTAACCACTAAAAATTGTTCAATGGAAATTTTTGAATAAATAGTCAATGTCAACTGATTCCACCAGAGCTTACAAAAAGTGAATACATTAAAAACAAAATTGTAACAAATATATTTTTTTCATACCTTTAAGTTTTATATTATATATAATTAGTTTATTTCTTAACAGTTTCAAAGCAAAGTTTATATAATAATTTGTTTTACTTTATGGTTATTTACATACCTATAATCTTTGGGCTGAATTTTTTTCAATTTGCTAATACAGTGTACATAAATTTTGTTAAAAATAAAAATTAAATTGTATATAATCTGAAAGTATTAGCTGGCATCCTAAAAAGTAGATAAAATACATGTAAAAAATTACCTATATTGAACTCTATGATAAGTAGATTAAATTACAATTATAACTATTTTATTAAATATTACAATCAAGCAGAATTTTGCTGCATAATAAACACATTTCCACCAATTTCACACCCTAAATAGACCGATAGCAAACAATTTTAACATTGTGGCATTTACCTTAGACTTAAGGTAGCTAAAGTTACCAGAATCTCAAATCTACCATCATTAATTTGCCAAGAACCACAAAAAAATTTCTTAACGCTTATTATTTGCGGGTGTAGGGCGGTAAGCCTGTAAATTAAGACGTTGTCACATCAACATAATACCAATGTTAATGCTACATAACAAATAGTTAAATTTTTTATAACAAATTAAAACATTAAAAAACAATATTAAAACAGAAATACAAATATTTAAAAAATGTCAAATTATAATATAACTTGAAAATATAAATAATACATTTCAAACAATCACAAAAAAAAAAAAAAATAATAATGCTGTGTAGTTAATCAGTTTTTACACATAAATAAATAATTTTATCTTACTGACTGAGCTTCTAGCAAGTGTGTATCTGCTGTTGTAGCCTAACACACACATCACAAAAACATTATTCACTTGCTTGTACATTTGTGTAATCTCAGCGTTGAGTGTCGAGTAAATGACTTTAAGCACACTGCACATTTGTACAGCTTTTCACCTGTGTGCATGTATTTATGTCTGATGAGGTGGGATTTTTGAGCAAATAACTTTAAGCATACATCACATTTGAAGGGCTTTTCTCCAGTGTGCACGAGTTTGTGTACTATTAGGTTGTTTTTAGAAGAAAAACACATGGAGCAAACTTCACATTTATAAGGCTTTTCACCGGTGTGTACGCGTTTGTGTTTTACTAGATTGCTTTTAGAAGAAAAACACATAGAGCAAACTTCACATTTATATGGCTTTTCACCGGTGTGCACGCGTAAGTGTTGTTTGAGGTGGGGATTTTCAGAAAATGACTTCGAGCATACATCACACTTGTAGGGCTTTTCTCCAGTGTGCACTCGTATATGTTTTATCAAATCGCTTTTTTCATGAAATGACTTTAAACAGACATCACATTTATATGGTTTTTCACCGGTGTGCAAGCGCTTGTGCTTTGTTAAGTTGTTACTTACAGAAAATGACTTGGAGCACATGTCACACTTGTAGGGCTTTTCTCCAGTGTGCACGCGCTTGTGAGTGTTGAGGTGGCCTTTTTCAGAAAAACACTTTAAACACACATCGCATTTGTAGGGCTTTTCACCAGTGTGCACGCGTATGTGTTGTGTGAGGTGGCGTTTTTCAGAAAATGACTTGGAGCACACGTCACATTTGTAGTTCTTTTCTCCAGTGTGCACGCGTTTGTGTTTTGTGAGGTGAGGTTTTTGAGAAAACGACTTCGAGCACATGTCACATTTGTAGGGCTTTTCACCAGTGTGTACGCGCTTGTGTGTGTTGAGGTGGCCGCTTTCAGAAAAACACTTTAAACACACATCACATTTGTACGGTTTTATGCCAGAATGCAAGCGTGTATGTCTTATAAAAGCTGATCCATCAGAAAATGACTTTGAACACACATCACATTTATACGGCTTTTCACCAGTGTGCACGCGTTTGTGTTGTGTGAGGTGGGATTTTACAGAAAAGTACTTTAGACATAAGTCACACTTAAAAGGCTTTTCACCAGTGTGCACGCGTGTATGTTGTGTTAGGTGGAGTTTTAAAGTAAAGGTCTTAAGGCATAAGTCACATTTGTAGGGCTTCTCACCAGTGTGCACTCGTTTGTGTATTGTAAATGCCGATAAATAAGAAAAAGACTTTGGGCACTCATCGCATTTGTAGGGCTTTTTACTAGTGTGCACACGTCGTCGGTGTTGTGTGATCTTGGATTTAGATGACAAATTCTTATGGTTGGTTGAATGTGCACTATGTGATTGAGTTATGTGTTGGGCCACTCTTTTTTTTGTATTAAAAGACTTTTTACATAATTCGCAGATAAATGACTGTGTTTCGTCCAAATCGTTGATGGTCATTGGCACATCCAAAAACCAACTTCTTTTAATCTCTATCACGGATTCAAAAATATTTCCATGCACTTCATCTACTTCAACTTTGACCGACGTTTCTCCAAAACTAAACAAAAAAATGTATTTGATTAGATTCAATTTTTGGAATAGAGAATATCTGGTACGAGCAATTGACACTAACATAGAATTATGTTCTGGTCGCTATCAGTCACACCCAAAAGTTTGTTAAATTAGTATTTAAAAAATTACTCTAACTGTATATGGTTGAGTAAGGCATTGAAATAAGGAAATATTGATATGATTTTTTATAATGGCTACAAAATTGCTATTTGTTTACATCTACTTATAAATTATATCTCAGGTCGTTGACTGCTTTTTTAAATGTTAAACACAAAAAACATTTTAAAACCGAACTCACATGTAAAATATTTTCTTGTAACTAGAACCATCACAGACAAATTATTTACCGGGACTACTAACAAATAAAATTATTAATATATAATAATTAATACATTACTAGATTATTTGATAATAATATTATGTTGTTTCATGAATTATTTTAGCTTCGATGCAAAGCGAGAAGGTATTGGTTTTACTCTGATGTGTGTGTTTTTTGTTATCTGTATACACTGTAACTTTTTTAATACTGGACCAATTCCTTCGAGTAGCAACTCTATACATCGCAAATTTCATCTAGTTGGTACTTTGGGGGGGGGGGGGGGTAAATTCTTCACAGACGAAAGTTGAAAAAAAACCGTTCGAGTTTTTAAGTTAGAACTTTTACTGGCTATAATTTCGAGAAAAAGAGTCGGATCGAATTGAAATGTATAAGAAATATTTATTTGGTATGCCCGCACACGTCAGTTGTGTCAAACTTAAACTATACCCATTTCCCACCCCCCTAGGGGGGGTACAAGTTTTTTGTTTTTCGGGGTTTTTAGCCGTAATTTTAAAACTTTTGGGTTGAAAATTTGCCAGTAGTTGGAACTCATATGTATCCATAACATATTAAACGGGAAAAAAATTCGGCACTAAAGTTTTTTTTTAATTGCCGGAAAACTAAAAACCCGGTGTACCAGATGTGAGAAACGAACAGACACTAAAAACTATCAGTTGGTAACGTCTATCCGTGTTAGGTTAGGTTAGCGCCCAATGGTCGTTATCATAATATTGTGTTTATTACATGATATCACAGACGACTAAATCGTGTAACTGATTATAGTAGACACACGATTTATTGGGGAAAGAACCTATCCGTGTACTTATTAAGACACTTAATGATTCTGATACAACAAAACCACTGTCGTTATCTCGTTATTTTATCGCCTGCGTTTTATTACCTTACCGAAGGTCAACTATGAGTATATAAGGTCCAACTACCTGCAAATTATGAAGAGGACTGTTGTTTTTTGGATTCAGATTAAGTGTTGGTTTTTATGCAGTTTACCGCCCCAAAATGTATTTTTTATTACACAATTTTTTTAAAGGAAAACTATTGTTTTGCATATTGTTATACTGCTATTCATTTAAAGAGATTCACGCTTGATTGTTAAAATTCTGCTTCGTGCTAGTTTTAATTTTTTAGTTTATAATTTCGTAGCTCTAATTTTGTAAAAAATATTTCATTATTTTATTACTGTGTTCAATTTAAGATATATTTTAATAGTATTTAAAAGTCATAAATGATAGTACTTTATTTTATGACTAGATCAAATATCGTGAACATTTAACACCATGATACTGCTCCTATACTATTATTAAAATAGCCATAAAAGGTTATTGTTAAATAACAGGTAACAGCCGACCGCTAGTGGCTATACACGTTGGTAATATTTAACTAATAGGTAATATGTAGGTAAAATTTATTGTTTTCTCCATCACAGTACCAGTATACGATTTATTTCAATTTAAATGTAAGAAAATCAATTTTTCTTTAGAAAATAACAAGAAATTAATATACAGGTGGTGCAGTAAAACGGACGATTTTCCAATGTATTTAAATGGGAAAACCCGTTCCACTACCCCACCCTTTATATTTTAAGGATCTATGAAAAGGTTTTTTTAGTTGCATTTTGTTTTGTACATTGTCAATCTAGTAAAATAGAGTATAATAGAGCTTTGAAATAATATAATCTATGAAGTATAAATAGTTTGTGTGAGATTGCTCTAATGGAAGTATATAAAATATAAATATTAATTTTATTGAGAACAAACAATTATAATTTTAACTATGGAATACAAACGATTGAAACATGAATTGTCCACCATTCTAACTAAATTTAACAAGACATTGTATATGTGTTATTTGGTCCACTACGTTTTTGCAAAAAAAAAACCAGTACAGTGGGGTCGGGGCATAGTGGGGACGGGTAGGTCACAGGTTTACAGGAATTTTTAAATCTGAAAGTGATAAAATCACTTTCGAAAAAACGCTTCGATGCAAATCGGTAGTTAGTATTTTCAAGCCAGTACAGTCCAAACCAAGCACAGTATAACCAGCAAAGTAAGAAAGTTTTAAATTAAGGTTCTGTATTTACAAATGAGCATCAAAGCGTTTATTTGAAAGCGATTTTATTCAATTTTATCACTTTTATTTATAATAATTCTTGTAGACCTGTGACCTTTCCGTTTCCTCATTGCTTTGATTACATTATGTCAATACTCTACTGTACTAGTCCTCTCGGATAAAATCACTTTCAAATTAACGCTTTGATGCTCATTTGTAAATACAGAACCTTAATTTAAAACTTTCTTACTTTGCTGGTTATACTGTGCTTGGTTTGGACTGTACTGGCTTGAAAATACTAACTACCGATTTGCATCGAAGCGTTTTTTCGAAAGTGATTTTATCACTTTCAGATTTAAAAATTCCTGTAAACCTGTGACCTACCCGTCCCCACTATGCCCCGACCCCACTGTACTGGTTTTTTTTTAATTGTTTTAAGTGTAGTTATAAATTTTATACTTAATACAATTTTTAGTAATTTATTCTTAATGTGTGTGTAATTAATTAGTAATACATAGTCTTGGGAGATCTTAAAAAAAAATAGTTGCTGTCATAGCCTGCTGTGTGGTATGGGCTTAATAACAATTTGTTTTAGTCTGGCCTCCATAGTTCTTAAAAAATTCTCTAATCAAGGCTATCCAGGTGAACCTAATTTTGGTCCGGGCTTGGTTGTTTAGTTACAAATTAATATTTTATAAGTGGGTTTCGTCGGGACTAAACTATTCTAGTTTATGAACTATTCTAAAAAAAAATAAAAGGAAAAAATCATATAAATGGTGTTAACATTAACACTAACGGCACAACATTAAAATGAAACCGTAACTGTTTTTTATCAGAAAATACTTCTTATCTATTTAAGAAAAATTATAAACGCCTTGGAATTCCTACTTATAACTTAATTATGTTCTTGTTATTTTTTAAACAAAATGAATTAAAAATATTTCAATTTGATAAAACAATTAAATCACATTACTTATATGCATCTCCATTGGTTGTAGTTTGACGATCGTGGTGGGTTGTCGGACAAGGAACGTCAGTAGATTTTTCAATGTCATTAGGTCTTGATTTTTTCTTTGAGATTTCAGAAAGCTGCTCTTCTACATCCTTAATGTCTTCATCTAATTTGACCGTGGTCCTATGATTATAATCATCCATTTCAAGTATGATTCTTAGCTAGATTCTCAACACTAAAAAACATATTTTGAAAAATTAGTACAAAAAACTCATGATTAATCTTATAAAATTACTATACTCTAAGTTAAAACACATATAAATGAAACATGAGTGGAGGCACATTTCCGAATAACGGAGCCAATTAAGGGCCAAGAGGATTCACCAGAGAATCAGACCATTTGAAGCAGTTCTACCGTTATCTCGTAATAGTAGAAGGCTTACATGGTTATAGCTGATTAAAAATAATGCAGATTATTTTAATATAGTAGTCGTCAAACACAAACAAACAATAAAAACTTAGTCGTAATAATTCTCCTTCACAACATAAAATGGTACTTTTGTATTATACAGAAACCCCCCCCCCCTTTATTTTTTTCAATATCAGAGGGTAATTAGATGGAGTAATTCACACTACATTTTAACACAGTTACTAATGAATGAATTACTTGCCCCACTAGCCGTCAGGTCACCGAGTGTTTTGGCACTTTCACGCTTGGCGCTGAGTAAATTAAATAAAAGTCTTCTTTTTTAATGAAAAACAGATTATATTTGTTAAAAAAGAAAATATACTTGTAAACATATAAATAATGACTACTTAATAATTTTTTATAACAACTTCAAAATACTAAATGAGTAGACGATAACAACATTCGTAGAATTTATAGACATACATATTAACTAGATATGTCTATAATTGAACCATTGCTACAATGATAAACTTTTTACCATTTAACTTAGGTAATACTTTGTATAATATAATTAATAAACTGACTGGATTGGTAAAAAAATATGGTATCATTAAGAGGAACTTTAGAACAATTCGAACAGTATATCAAAAATATATTGTTAATATTATACTCCTTTATGGAGAGAATGTGTCCTGTTTAGTGTATCCAAATGATGTACCTAGTTCTGTTATCTCCAAGCCAAATTTCCCTCTATATGTGGCAGTCGTTGTAGATATACACAAAGCGCTCAGACGGCAGTATCAGGCGACTCAAGCAGTTCTCTGGTGTGCGAAAATCAAGAATGTTCGAAATATGGTAGGCCCCCAGATTAATTCACTAGGTAAATGTAGTAACATTGTAAACAGAACTCACAATTAACAAAAAAAAACACTGATAGACAGATTCGGTATTTCACTAACCATTATCATCCCCACGGCTGTTGATAGCACTTCTCACTCTATAAGACTAAAATAAATGTATGTAAACAATTTGAATTGTTTCAAAGAATCCATACCAAACCCATAACTATTGAATACTAATTATATTTCTAAATAACGTTCTATACTATAACCCTTTAGTACCCATTGTAGCAGAAATGCAACATGTTTATTACACAATTTTATTTTGTTAGAAAAAATACATTTAATTTAGGTGGCACCTTATAATAGTTATAAAAAGAAATTGCTTTCTAGTATCAACCACATTGGGCATTAAAGTGATGATGATGTTACTCGGTAGAGTTCCACTAGAAGACACAAATTAATGTATATTGTTATGTAATTAAAATTAAAAAAAAAAATCTATACTAAATTAAACTAAATTAATAAAACGACGTAATCAATTGTAAGGAACTTCGTACTTACCATTAAAAAAGTACCACGAGGTACGAGACCGCTGGTCAGAACTCCGGATTTTTAGCTTAAAACAACAGCTGGTAAAAAATCACACATTCGAAGCTAATATTTTTCAAATGAATTTCTCGAAAACTATCACTTTTCATGTTAATCGGAGTCCCGTTAGACGATATTTTATTACAACGTTACAGACGCGATTACCACAGAAATAATACAAAATTCACATTGTACAAGACTTGCAAAATAAAAATTGAAAGTCGTTTGGTATTATCAAACATTTTGTGTACGGGCAAACTATCAAAATTCTGTTAAACAGTATGACCGTACGTAATGTAAAACTTGAAATAAAAATATTTTTCTAAGAAGGCGACACTGTAGCTCGTTATCAGACCGGTGATAGCAGCTGCGGCCGCTTGGAGGTAGACCGCAGTGAACTGTGAAAGTAAATATTAAAACGCCAGCGTTGAGCGTTTTCAACAATCTTATTTTTCTGGCTTAGGTCAAATTATAATAAGTAATATAATGAAAAAATATAGTGTTTGATTAGGTACACTGTTTTGATATAATACTATAATATTATACTTTACTGGGCGTATTTAAGAAAATTAATAGCTTAAGTTCGGTTGTACCTAGCAACGGTAAAATAAAAAAAATGATGCAACTTTAATAGGATACTAATGATGTTATTGAGTTTATTGCACGTGATGATTTAGTAATTGATTCTGAGGAAAAGGTATATTTGTTGAAACTTAAAAAAAAATTACTTTTTTTAACGTTGCTTCTATTACAATTATTTAATAATAATTTATGAGTTTATTTTAGATTTTTGATTTTATCATTGGTTGGATACGCTTTAATACAGACGAACGTAATGACTTGGTACCGTTTCTTATGAAATTTTTACGTTTACCTTTAATTTCAAAAAAAGGACTACAAAGGATTTATAATGAACCATTAGTGAGAAATAATAATGATGGTAAGTATGTATTGTTGATTTTCCCATCGGGGCAACATTGAATCTAAATTGTGCCCTCTGTTTGTATATACAGTAGTGCCTATAGGTGAAATATATTGATGATGTGTCTTTTGAATAAATATTATTACTGTTATGCTTTTCCAGTTAAGACAGGCATGTTAGAAAATATCATTAATACTTACATAAATTCAAAACCATCATATACTCAAGGGAGATGTACTCAAATTGAAGCATCAAATGTATGTAGACATTTTAAAACTAGATTTTTACATGTTATACATGGTACGCAATAAGTGCACTAGTTATGTGCTTGTACAACTTACATTTGTATACATGTGTATTCAGATTATTTTTGCAATTACGGGTCATTCAAACGGTGGGGGTTCCTATGTAAAGTATATGGAAACGATAATGACCTAAGATGAAAATCAAGCAAACATTTACATTTTTTACCTCCCCGTAAAGCCGCAACGATGGTAGTCTCTGAAAATGGGATAATACTTGCCATTGGTGGCATAAACGAGTCTGGTGAATTGACCAATCTTATAGATGAGCTTGATTTTAAGTTAAAATCAAAACAATGGGTTTCTACATGGCCATTGAATCAACCACGAACAAATTTTGCTGTTTGCACTTACAAGCAGTACATATATGTTGTACGTATTAATTTGATTGTAGTTAACATAACGAATACACCTTGTTTACAAGAAAATTATTATTTTTTTTACGATATAGGTTGGAGGCTATGATGACTCAAATCACAATTGTTTGACTTCTGTAGAATACTATGATACAAATTCAAAAGTATGGACGGAAATTACTGAACCGATGCTCACTGCTCGAGCCTTGTGCAGTGCTGTAGTATTTAATAATAAATTATACGTTGTAAGTAAAAAACCATTTAACCATAAACACCATGCCTAACTACAAAACAAGTTTCTACTCATATTTTATTAATTTCTATTAAAAATTATTGTAAAATATTAATTTCACAAATTATTATGGTTTGTAAGAATTTGATTCAAGTTTTATTGTTTTTTGTAGTTTGGTGGACGTACTGAACGTTATTGTAGTTCTCTTGCAACTGTAGAGTACTATGATTTTGAAAAGAAACGCTGGAAACAACTCTATCCTATGCCGGTATGTAATTTTAGCATGAGTATATCAAAAATTGATTACGTCGTTTATCTCATTGGTGGTTCTAATGCATGCCGTCGACGAGTTTTTAAGTTCGATTTACAACATTTCAAATGTAACGAAATGCCTAACGTGAACATGGTTTGCTATGGAGATTGCTCAAGTCTGTATATATTTAATCAAGTATATAAAATATAATACATTTTTTTACTCATAAATATTATAAAATGCAGGTGTTGGTGTCATGAAAAACGACTTATTCGTGTTTGTGAATAATGGAGGAATATTTCATTGTGAACGATATGACAGAGGAAAAAATCAATGGCAATTAGTTGACAGGGCAGGAGAGCATACAGATGAATTTTGTCATATGATTACTTTTAATGATATTGCTCTTAAGTCCTATGGTATGTATTTGTAATACTATATTTTTTATATACCGTTTTGTTGTTACTTTGGGAGAACTTCATTGTGTAAGATATGACACAGAAAAAAAAAACATGGCATCTAGTTGACAGAGCAAGAGAGTAAAATCAAATGATTTTTGACAAAATATTATTGCTTTTAGTAATGTTATGCTGAAAATATCGTGGTACTCACTTATAATATTATTTTGTATTAATAAAATCTTATAAGTAAAAATTGGTTTCAAAATTGATTATTTATTTTTTTGGCCTTTTATTTTGATTGCAAACTATACAGTACGTACTTATGGCATAAAGTAATTATTGGGCAGTATGAAACATTACATTTAATTGTGATAGCAACACTATCAGAACTATTATTAAAAAACTTCATGAGTCTTTTCTCTTGTGCCAACCATGCCTTAGTTTAAACATCTATAGGTAATGTAAGAGTCACAGATTAATTAAACGTCAAAAATGTATTCATTCAAATTGTGGTAAGGTTATACATCAATGTACTGCACAGTCCATTCTAATAAAAACTCTTTTATGGTTTATACAAAACTACATAGTAATATCATACATAAAAAACACTGATTAAACCCGATTAATCAGATATACCGTCAAAATAACTTCAAACGACACGTAGGACCACCGACTACGTTATCGTCGGCAAAGAAATTGTCCGTAGACTCACAACATCATCTACCACCAAGACGGCGTTACTTGTATTTTCAATTCAAATGTGTCAATCAAATGGGAACACTCAAAAAGAATAACATAATAAGCAAACTGTAATCAAGTTGATGAATGTCCAAACCGTCAGCCTACAGAAATAAAAAAACAAACTCAAATTACCAAAACGTAAAATTGTTAAGTAGTTATTAAGCGTCTCTCTCTGTCTTCCCGAATAATAATACCATATCGTGGTACCTAATTGCATTATATAAAAAAATGTACAGAAAAAGATAATACAGAAATAATTTTTTTTTTGTAATAATTATAATGTTAAATAGTAATTTTACAAGTCGGCGAAAGCTGTTTCCACAACGAATATAGACTTAGGTAAACGCATTAATACATGTTATAGAATGACGATGAAGGTAAATTTACAATAAGATTCGAAACCGAAGCTGGGAATTTGATCTGTTTGCCACAGAAAACGCGCGAAAGATTACCTCCACCCGAGTCGTTATCACACTCGTTATCATACAAACACACATTATCACAAATCTGTCTTGAAAATTTTCGGCGTTGTCCTGCAGTTCGCGTTATAAAACCTACATTAAATACAAATTTTGTTGTTGTTAATAATTGAGATTACTTTTTATATGCACTCGGAATTTCTTTGAATTATAACTAGTTACATTTGATTTAGCGCCATAGAAACAACTTGTTTTCATTATTGTTGCTACGGGTCCGATTCGTGAGAATCTCTAGTTTTTAATTTTAATATTGTTAAATTTCATGATAAATACCTAACGCATTGCGCCGTGTTTCGTTATTTCGTTTTAATTTGCGTTACAATTGAGTTTTGTCTTGCCTGTAATTCATTTATTATAAGTTTTTAGTAGCAGCCCTGGACGGCGGTTTACGTTTCTACGTTGTGTGATTACCTACCGTTGTATTTCTAATTTATTTACATTATTGCCGTGTTTTCCATTCACTCAGAATATTGTTGCTTGTGAGTAAATAGAATCTTAATATATTTGTGTTTTTTTTTATTACTTATTATTCACTCAGAGTTGAATTGAGTGACTCAGGATCAACGCCACTTTAAATTAATCTTGTTGGCAAAATGATCTATCGTTTATCTTTAATTTTTATCGTGTTAGCTTCTTACCTACAAGTCATACTTGTAGTTTTGTGTTATTCATCTAATTTAAGTAAACTAAAATTTAGTTTTAAATGTGTAAAAAAACAAAATATACCATTGCAAACTCGATTGGGTTTTTATTTTTCAAATAGTGATAACTAAATTATTCTTATAGTAAAATTGTGTAATTAAGTCGTTCTATTCAACCTCTATGCAAATATGACATAGAAACACAACTAATGTTAAATGTCAATTATAGAGTTTGGAAGCTATTTAATATGTTGAAAATTAAACATGAAAATGATGAAACAGAACAACACTCCTTTCAAGTCATTGCACCCAGACCGTTAGATGTGCAGTTCAAAAACAATGAAATTTCTACAATAGAGGAGTATTTGGTAAAGAATGAAGTGGACAATACTTATGAGTAAGGCGATTTTTATTACCATTTTTTTTTACTAGATAAAACAATTAGGCTTTTGTTACTATGTCGTCCTCCGTAATTAAAAAAAATATATATAATTGTTGATGTCCTAATTCATTTTCAAAATAGTATTAATGATATTGTTTTAACAATTATTCTCGACGTTATAAGAAGTAAAGAGAAATGGTGAATGAAACACAGTTTAAAATCAAAATATATTTAATTCAGCTGTTGAAAGCTGATCATGTACATCTAAGTTAGTTTTGTGTTATTCATCTAATTTAAGTAAATTAATATTTCGTTTTAAATGATTAAAAAGTACAAAATACACCACTGAAAACTTGGTTGGTTTTTATTTTTTAAACAATGTAAACTAAATTGTTCTTTATTTTTTTAAATATATTTAAGCCTCGTTAACTTAGACTATTAGCTGTCTTCTTTAGTATATCATTATTATTACAAATAATTGTTACTAAATAAAATAGTTAAAATTAGGTAGTCATGTCGTCCTATTAATCCTCTATGCATATATGGCATAAAAATAAAACCAAGTTTAATATTAATTATAGAGTTTTGAAGCGACATAATGTGTTGAAAATTAAACAAGAAACTGATGAAACAGAAGAACACTCCTTTGAAAAGTCGTTTGAAGTCATTGAACCTGAACCGTTAAATGTGCAGTTAAAAAAAAATGAAATTTCAACAACAGAGGAGAATTTAGTAAAGAATGAAGGTGACAATACTTATGGGTAAGGCAATTTTTATTATTATTTTTTTTTTATCCTAAATATAACTATTAAAATTTTGTTATTACTCCGTTCTCCTCTATGAACCTGTCATTGGTATCGATGTTAGTGTTTCTCTGACATTTAACTTATAATAAGAACCACTTCTTCTTATAATAATAGATTGTTTCAAAACTTCATCTACCTCTTATCAATATAATGTTAAATCAAAATACCAAAAAAAAATAAAATTCTTAACATCTATTTGTGGGTATGATGACCTGTCAAAGTTTGCAGTACCGCATTTTGTTAGCGTATGTTTGCACAAGACATACTGTGTTATATAAATATAAATGTAAAGAAATTTATTCATACATTTCTTTTCATTCTTTTATATAATGGACAAAAAATTAGTATAAGTGTAATTTTTTATTGTAAAAACTTTATTTTAACAGTTATAAAGAAAAATATTTTAATAAGTACTAGGGTTTGTTTAATTTCTATAAAATTAAATTTGTTTTACAATAAAAAATGTATAAAGTAAAATGAAATTTTTTTATGAAATATAAGTAATCTAACTTACAACTAAACCATAAACTAACTTTTATTGGATATAACTAGATAAACACTTTTACCTCAGTTGCACTTCTCCTAAACGGAATTATTGGTTGTATCCAAAATGATACCTACAATATCCTAATAGTAAAATACTTAAAACTTTATAAACATAATTTAAAATTGGATACATTTAACTTATTTTCTTTTTTAACAATATATCTTAATTAATACAAATAAACATACTTACATACATAGTTCAAAGACTAAAACCTACTCTACGTAAATAATAAAATATTAATTAAGATAT